GAGCAGTGAAGTGTCTGTAAAATGCAAACGATTCAAGGCAAAATCACTCCCCAGAGACTCGATTTGTGCTTCGTCTTCAACTTGAGCAGGGAAATTGGTTGAACTCCAGTAAAGAAGTCGATTTTCAAACAATTTTACATTTTCTTTTTACTTCTACTTCGAGGTGGTTGGCATAAAATTTATTCCAAGATTTTTCAATTTTTTAAAATCCTTAAATCTCACTAACGTCGATGGTTTATTATTTAAATATTGTGATTTAAACCACTCAGGATTCTTTCAATATTTCATGTCCCCTTTCTCTAATATAAAAGATGTGAGAAATTATTTCTCTTGAAAAGCTTATTTTTCTTTCTACTTCATAAATCTTGACAAATTTTTTTTTTTTTTTTTGCACAAATGGAATTATCTTTCTGAGCATTATAATTTTTTCTGAATGTAATTTTAATTTTGTATTTGAAAAAATAATTGTATCAAAAAAGAGAGGAATTATTGTGGTAGGTTGAATTAATTAGTTGAATATAAAATTATACAGAGCTGCATGATTTTTTTAATTTCTGATTTGAAAATCGTTTTTAATGTATTTTTGTCGTGAACACGAGATCCCGGATCCCGAAATTGACTGGAATTTCAAAATTTTGAAAATAGTGTGGGTAAAAACCTTAAAAAGCATTCTTTAGAAGATTTTCAATGTATTTTTTTCTCTATCTTGACGTGCTAGGGACTTTCGTGAAGCGCCATAAATTAAAGTTTAAAATATTTACTTTAAAACCGTATGTAAGACCAAAAAATATATGATTTTGAGAAAAGTTGGGGTAAAGATACAAAAAAAAGTTTTTTTTGTTATTTTTGATATCGTAATGGTTTTCTATGTATTTTTGGTCGCTAAAAACGATCCTGAATTCAAAAATTAATTATCCCGTTAGAATTTTGAAAAAAGTGGGGGTAAAGATTCAAAAAAAGTTTTTTTTGTTATTTTTGCCATCGTAATGGTTTTCTAAGTATTTTTGGTCGCTTAAAACGATCTTGAATTCGAAAATTAATTATCCCGTTAGACTTTTGAAGAAATTGGGGGTAAAGATCCAAAAAAAAGTTTTTTTTTGTTTTTTTTGACATCGTAATGGTTTTCTATGTATTTTTGGTCGCTGAAAACGATCCTGGATTCAAAAATTGATTGTCCCGTCAGAATTTTGAAAAAAGTGGGGGTAAAGATCCAAAAAATGTTTTTTTTGTTTGTTATTTTTGATATGGTAATGGTTTTCTACATATTTTTAGTCGCTGAAAAGGATCCTGGATTCGAAAATTAATTATGCCGTTAGGCTTTTGAGAAAAGTGGGGGTAAAGTTTAAAAAAAAGATATTTTTCGTTATTTTTGACATCGTAATGGTTTTCTATGTATTTTTAGTCGCTGCAAACGATTCTGTATTCGAAAATTGAATATCCTGTCAGTATTTTGAGAAAATGCTTGAAAATATTTTCAATTTAAATTTATTAATATTACAGCTGACATTTCGTATAGTTTCTTAGGTTATTCACCCGGAATTTAACTTCCTCTTGGAATAGTTACACTATACGTTATCTAGATTCCAAGACGTAATTCTCTGTGCAATAGAAAATCGCTCGATACTTTATTACATGAAAGAAAAAAAGAAAAACAAAACAAGTGACGAGAGATTTAGAAGTAGACTGATTGCTACTGTATAATATATTCACGTGGGCAGAAATTCCGACGTGGTTATCTAAAATTTCATTTCGAGGTGATGAATTTCGAAATCCAAGTTCCCTCGAGTGTTAATGTACTGACATATAAAATTAATGTAACCGATTATTTACCCGAATTTTTTCAAAGATGAGTGAATACTTCGTCTTGGATTTCATAGAATTTACGTCAAAAAATTATTATTAAATCTTACTAAGAAAGTATTCTTCTTTACTTTTGTCTACATAAAATTGTATTTATTTTCTTAAGAATCAAAACAAAATAATTTTACCAAATATTTTTCGTTATGTAAAGTCATCACTTTTTTGAAAACCTCTTTCTTTTTCTTTTTTAAATTTCATATTTGAGAAAAGTGAAGTAAAATTGTTACTCCACTTTTTTCAAATATGCAATTTTCCAAGTATGATTTTTTTTTTGAAAAAAAATATAAAAATTCTTTATATTGCAATGAATTCTTTTACTGTTTTAAATTTTTCGACTAAAAAAATTCATATACGGTGTTTTATGAGAAAATCTACGAAGAATATATTTACAACTGAAATCATGTGATTTAGAAAATGTCACATATGGCCTTAAGGACAGTAAAAAAAAATCCACTTTGAAAACGTAATTGAAACAAAATGAAACTCAGAATGAAAACAAAATTAAAATAAAGTGTACAGTGGAAATTAAATTCAACTATGCTTTACCGTATGAAAGGGATATGAAAATAATGAGTACAGAAGTAAAATGAAAATGTTTGTTTTTAATATGAGAAAATTAAGGTTCTTTTTCAAATTGCAATAATAATTAATTAGATTTAATTTTAAAAAATATTTAATGAAATGAAGAAAGATATTTAATTTTGAAATTCCCTTTTGTTAGAAGGATATAACAGCATGTGACTGTTACATCTCTAATGTTACATTTTCGACCATTTTTCTCTGAATATTATTAAAAAATTGAAATTATATTTTGTAAGGAAGTCTAAAATTTAATGAGAAAGGACAGTAAGGTGTAAAAATTTTAATATTTCAAAATTAATTAATATAAAACACTTCTAAAGTGGTTAAAAATTGAGGCTAATTAATTTTAAAAATATTAAAATTTTTGTACCTCACTGCCCTTTCTTATCATATTTAAATTTAATTAAAAACTAACTTCATTTATTATATTTTTTAAGAGACCAATTTGAATTCAAAGTTCATAACTTTGTCTAAAATTAAAGTATTCTTATTTTCCAAACCTGCAAATTTATTTAACTTTATGGACAAATTTTATAGAACAATAAATTAATAACAATTTTTTTCTATAACAATATAAACACAAGTATATTTTTGTAAGATTTGCATAAAAACATAACAAATATGACTAATGGGGCGTTTTTAGGGTCACTGATTACGAATCAATTGTCAGGTTTTAAATATTCAAAATGGCGGATCCAAAATGGCGGAAGATTTTTTAAAAAACATTGAATGCACTTGCAATTCGTTGAAAAATGGATCTTTTTCAAATTAAATTTGAAAAACTCTAAATAAAACGTTAGAATTTAATAAAAGCTTTCTTTGAACTGTTTTTGGCCCACAGTGCAATAAAGAAAATGCTTTTTGGATTAAGTTATAATACTTTTGTCATTAGTCAGGTAGCATCAACGATCTTGTCAAGTGAGATTTTTTCGCTCACATATAACCCACCTGCAGTGAATGAGGCTGGCATCTGTCGGCACATTTCTCATCTTTCTAATATTAATAGTTTCACGCCCCCCCCCACCTTCTTTTTGCTTCTTCATCTTCTTCCTCTCATTCCCCTCTCTTTCATTCCTCATAAGTTTCTCTTTTTCTCTTCAATTTCCAAAATCTCTCTCTCTCTCTCTCTCTCTCAATCTTATATTTTATATCCGTTTTGATTCTGTCTGTCTGACATGTTTTCATCCGAGAAAGTCTTCTCACTGATGGTATAGGTCAGTATCGTTTTTCCTTTCCCTTAAGCTGTAGCGAGGAATGTCGATCGCTGAGCTTCTATAAGTGCTTCAGTCCGAAGACATAAATGTCTCCCTGTTAAGTCAGAGGATTTTATATACCTTTGAGAAAATTTTTAGTACATGCTTGTTATGTGCAAAATAAAAAATGAAATCGTATTTTAATATTATGTATATTGAGTACACTGTCTGACACAATTTTTCATGCGGATGATAAAGTCTATAACTTTTGAAGAGTAGAGTTTAGAATTTTTAAGGGAAAAAGTGGTTCATGAAGATAAAATATTTTTGAAAGAATTTGTTTTAAATAAAAAACTTTCACTTTTATAATATAAATCGAAAATGTCCAATGTCGATTTAACAAAAAAGGAGCGTTTTTTGGAATAGTGCTAAAAATAGTTTTTTGTACTTTTCCGAAGTAAAACATTCAACTCGTCTGAACAGATTATAGAAAATTTTTAAAATATAAAAAAGCTTTGGAGATTATGCCATTTATAAAGATTCGAAAGTTCAGAGGAGCTTTAGTATTCCTCTTTGGGAAATCTGACCACATACAGTAAATATATTATATTTTTTCTCCTTTCGAAATTATACAAAACAGTTATTTTGCTTTTATTTTTGTGAAATACAATATTAACGAAGTTTTTAATTACTGACAGAGATGTGTTCATTAATTATTTTAAAATACACTGGGGATAATTTAAAACGAAATTTTTCAAATCTGGCAATTTTATTATAAAATTGAAGCACTACGAGTCACGTATTAATAATTCAACTGTTTAATGCTTTATTTTTTCCTACTTCTTTTCTCTCTTTTAGCTTTATGTTTAAATTCGCATTCAAATGCTAGACTCAAAGCTTTGAGTTTGTTGTCTTTGGCACACCTGCCCAGTACAATATTTGCGCCTACGTCCTTTCTTAATATTTTGAATTTTAATGAGGCATTGCTTTTTAATCTTAAAATTGCGCGTCTGCAAAGTCCAAGTGTCACAGAATATTACACTTTGTGTCCTTTTCTACCTATTTTACAAGTTGAAATAAAAATTTAAAACTAACATTCATCATTATTATTATTATTATTTATAAATAATACAGAAATTATTTTTTAAATTTATTTTTTCAAATTTGATATTACAGAATCTACAGTTTCATTTATGCATCATATGCAATGCATAAATAAAACTTTTGCTTCTGTAATCTCGAATTTACTTAAAAAAATAATTTCTTTTCTGTTGCAAAGAAATATTTAAATTAAAATAATATAGAAAATTTATGTTATTAGTATTACCGTCAAAATTTTAAAATTATACTTTTCTTTTGTTTTAGGATACGATCATGGGGAGTCACAACAGTCTCAAAACACAGGAAGTAGCCTGGATTGTCTAAATATGATTGTCCAAAGTATCAGTGGAACCGCGTCACCAACGACAAATAATAATTGTTTGTCTCACCATTAAAATAAAAATTATTTTCACAGTATTAGAATATGTAATAAAATTAAGAAATTAGGACAAAATTTATTAAAACTATATTCTTCAACGTGAAATCATATATCTAAATGTTTAAATTATTAGGGTTAATAACAATTTTTTATTAGCTTTATTTAAATTTATTTACTTTTATGTATTATTAAGCAAAAAAGTCTTATCGATCGTGTTTATAAAAAAAAAAGTTTTTTTTTAAACCACGACCGACAAGTCTTTTTACTCAATAATACTTAATAAACGATCACTAACTTCAAATATATATTTATTACTTTCAATTTTTTAAAAATTCTAAATTTTTTGAGACAAAATTGCAATAAATCTAGCATCTAATGAATAAAATCATAAATTATGATCAGTAGACAAGTAATTAATTTCTACAATTAAAGATAATTAAAGATAATAATTTATAAAGAAATTTTTAGTGCAAACTTGTTTTCTATTTAAAATTAGATTAAACTATATTTTATCACGAACGTTATTTAAAATAAATTTGTAAAATAATTTTCTAAACTGTACGAATCCATTGTGTATCTTAATCATTGCAACGTGATTTTAATTTTATACGAATAGTGTAAACTATATTTGTTGTACAATTTTTTCACTGAAAGAAAGTATTGTATGCATGAGAGAGTCTTTTAATATTCGCATAATGTAAATTATGCTTTTTATATAATTGAAAATTTAATTATAATCAAAAAGATGCGAAGAAAAAGTAATAAGAAGAATAGGTAGAGCGTTATTCAGGTGATATTATTTACTTTTGTAAATAATGAGATCAATTATAGTTTCAAAAGAGAATGTAAAGGCTGAAGAATGACGATAAAACAATAACTATATAATATAAAATTATTATTTATAAGAAATGTGGTTGAAATTTAAATATAAAAGACTCGCCAATTAAATTAGATATTTTTGAAAAATATCTACAAACTATTTATAAAAAAAAAACGTGTCAATAAAAAGACAATGTTCAAAATGTTATATCTTTGATTTTTCATTACTCCTTTATTTTTCATTTAGATTATTTAAAACTCAAATGTTTCGGAAAATCTGAATTTTAAAAAATACTTTTTTGCATGCAGAAACATTTAATTTATGTTATTTTAAATTTTTTTTTAATTTTTAGGGTTAAATATTGTAGAAGAGTTAAAAATATCTATGTATTATAAAATGTTTCGATTTAATACTGTATAAATGAGAAGAGAATTAATATTTACAAATTTTTCCACTAAAAGGACTGTTAAAAATTAAAACATTTATTTTAAATTAAAAATAAATACATTCATTTCACACGCTCATAGAAGTTATAATAAACACCCTTGCAAAAGTACCTTTATGTTTCATGGCAAATTGCGTTTATGACTGTTTAGACAGACCTCAAATCATAAACTGGTTTCTTAAAGCGTTCACTCTCAGCTGAGTAATTATACATTTTAATTGAAAAATAAATTTTTTCACTAGGAATTATAAATAAATTGTTTCATTAATATTCAAATTGATAGCAATTAATCTAAATTTAAATTCAAATTATTAGAAATCTAATTAATAATTAATAATTAATATTTTTTCCACTATTTAAAATTTCTTCTTCCAAAGTACTTTACAATTATGAGAATATCTACATTTTAGTACGACTATGAAATTATTGTTAAATGAATAAATAATTATATTATATACATATAATTTTGTATAAATGTTTAATTTCTTTATTTATAGGTTGAATTATTACAGAACTGGAGTAGGAGCTAAAACCTTTCAATCCCGGTACTGGTATCAAAACGCCGAGTTCCAGGCGTACCTTAGGTACAACCCGGACCGCCCACAGTCGCTATCACGTTAATTTTCACTATTTGTTGACAATAATTTAAATTTAATTTCTAGACATTTTACAAAAAATTGCAAACATTATCAACTTGTGAAATATACATATTTCTTATTACTAGGTATATTGCGCCAAACGATAAGATTGTGAAAAACCGAGAAATAAACATTTTTATTCAGTTGACATCAAAGTGATTCGAAAATACTTCGTTTTTTAGTAAGTAAAAACTGTTGGAATTTATATTTTCTTAAATGAATATTTATAATAATTTTGTGTAATTCAAAGTAAGAATTTAAACTGTATTTATTGAAATAGTGCTATGTTTATATTGCATTGTAATAAAGCCGCAATTAAGATCCAATACTGATTGTTCTTGAAGCAATATTGCCTTCAAATATTTTAGCAAAATTGCTGGTAACATTGCTTCAGGTCAAACACAATGCATTAGCATTATGCTTCTTAATTGTGTATCTTAATATTGCGTTGCAATATGAACTCCTTATTTCTGTGTAATGTTTGCCACCATATTGTTGTGGAATAATTCTGCAAAAAAAGGACGCAATTTTTTATATACCCACCTTAATGCCATATTGCCTCACGATATTATTAAATATTTGCAATAATTGTAATATATTTAATATACTTGTAATATATTTTAATATATATTGTATTGTTGTTATAATAATTATAGTACTATGATGATTTGCGTCAACAGTTTTTTTGGAACTTAAGTATCGAATCGAAACTTGAAATTTTAAAGTCGTTAAAGTATTTCTTAGTACAAGCGTACAAGAAACATTTTTAACCAACGAAAGTACATATATAAGATAAAATTTCGATAAAGTATTTCCAGCTGTTAAACATTTTAATATTTGAACAATAAAAGTGTAGATAGTACAAGTTATTGAAACCTGTTGGCGTTTTGTAAAAAACAAATTTATTGCCATATTTAAGAAAGTCGTTGTTAGCCCAACATTGTTACCATTTTTCTGGTACCCTATTGGGCTCTTTTATTTTGAAGCAAGGATTCTAAACAGGAGAAAATCCGTCAACGATTTTGAACAGAAACTGTTGAGGAAGAAAAGTCAGAAAGACCCAACTTATCCCTCGAATTTCTAGGGTGATGCTACCGGGTCGATAAAGAAAATTTATCTATTACATTAAATATAATTTTTTTATTACAGATTTATTGTGCATTTAATTGCAACGATTTCTTAAGAATACTGCATTGCTACTATCTCAAATGTTTGCAAACATTCACAAAATGATGACCTATCATTCTCTGTGCAATTACTTCGTTACTTTCTTCATTGTAACAATGTGGATTGGTACTGTCGTGATTAGTATGAATGTAACGGAAGGTAAGATAAAATACTGTTTTTTAATATTTACAAAAAACTCTACAAAGTATAATACTGACATATTTATAAAATCATTTTTAATTATTTTTTGTTACAGAGGAGTTTAGAAAGTACGGAATTGGTATGTAACATATTCATAGAAACTTATTTAACTGCAATTCTAAGTCTTATATTAATAAACGGCATAACTTCTTGAAAACCATACATGGAAAAATTTTCATTTAGTAATTAAAGTCCTAATCAAAGAAACGGTTTTAATTTCTTTAAACTAAAAATCATCCAATAAATAAAGAAGTTATAAGTCAAATTTTTTCGAGGAACATTCTCGTCATTTTTATACGAATACGAAATAGTTGCAAGATAGTATAAAATTGATATCTTCCTATTGTTTATACTTTAAACTCTAAGTCGCAATTAATAAAATTTGTATTTTTGTCACTGTATTCCAAATTTACATAGATTTTTAGTAAAATTTAATGAAGAAAATTTTTTCTATGTAAATTTTTATTAGAAAATTTTATAAGAAACAAAATTTACACAAAAGAATAAAAATAGTCATTAATAAAATTTTCTATAATTGTTTCAGAATTTATGGATTACGGTATGCGTAATTTATATTATTTGTATTAAAAATTACCCACAACACTAAAATTTGCATTAAAAAACAGTTCTCTTCATAACTAAACCGAAAATTTGCATTAAAAACTTACAAAAAGTTTATAATCAATTTTTATAAACTCTCATTAATCCCTTACTCTTACAGATGAATCAGTAAATGATGCTATTGGTAAGTAAAGTTTTCAGTATTCACAACTATTTAAAATTTTTAATATCTCAAAATTATTAGTAAACATCTTAATTTTTTAGAAGCATAAATTTCCCTGCGAACAAAAAAATATTTACGTTCGAGGAACGTTCCTACATCGTTTCATTTCTGCTAAATTAACATGTTGAAAACGTTTCATGTCATAAAAATGTTTTTAGAATATTAAAGGTTTTTAAAATGTTAATCTGTCAGACAAGAAACGTTTTAGAAGCGTTTCCTCTTGGAAATTATAAGTAACCCAGAAATTAAATTTCTTTTAATGGGTAACTAGTTAAAAAAAAATTTTAAGTCAATGTTTAATAGAACAGAATATAAGGTATTAATTTTTTCCTTAACTTATAAACTCTGAATATTAATTTTTTAGATACTCTTCAATCAGCTAAGAATGGAACTTTAACTTCTTTTCAGGTTTCTATAGTCATAATTTTTATAATATAATTGTCTAATTTTCGTCATGACTTTGATTTTCTGAAAAGTTGTTAAATAAAATACTAAGACTGTTACTTCCTCGGTGAAAATGATTCATACACAATAAACATGTTTTTACAAAGTAACCTAGAATTATGATTGTCAAGTCAATTGTGTAAAAAATTTCTTACAAATAATTATTTTAAAAAATGCACTGCAAAAAATGATGTCTTATTTGTGTCATAATAAGAGTTTCCAGGGATAATGTCTAAAAATAAGTTACCTGTTCCTGTAGTGTACAGATAGTTTTGTATAATGGAAATAATTATTAATTTTCATTGATTTATTTTTATAGGAGGAATTATTACAGAAATGGAATATTGATGTAAATATTGAAGATTTAAATGTCATTACGGAAAAATTTATTAATACACCAACAGGAATGGCAAGAAAATTAATGATGTTGATATTAGGTAAAGATATATTATGTAAAATGACAATAAAAGGATCACGCAATTTCCGAGAAAATCATAGTTTCATACCTGAAAATGTTAGCAATTTTGTCTTTGGTGAGTTTTTTACTAAAAGGAATATTAATTTTTTTATTCTTGTACAAGTTAAATAATTCGATTTCAGAATATGTGAACTTACATGCCAGATCAAACATTACTTATTCAAAATATGTAAAAGTAATACGAGATTTATGCAATTATTCACGTTACGAAAAAAGAGGTAATCTACAGTACTTAAAAAATTATAACTTTCAACATTGCTCCCAATACTCTTTGTGATATTAACTCCTTCATTCTAACAAGATATTTCTATAATATAAGTAAACGAATATATGATTGAAAATTAAAAAAACAAATATAGGTCAGTGCCGAAAACTGAACGCAAAATTTGATTAGATTAATAAAACAGAATTTCCAATAAAGCATGTAAAATAATAAATTAAGTACAAATGAAATAGAATTAATCTTATTTTCCTGAATTTCAGGGAATCATGGCAGTTTAAATTCATTGCAGGTTTTGATTTTCAATATTTCTAGAACATATTTTTGTTATTTATCATTCGACTTTGTGGAACACTGCAGTTTTAGCATGACTTTCCGCTGCTTCTACAGTTTTCCAATGCTTAAACAGCAGTGTACTCATGTCGAAATAACCTACTATAATAGCATTACTTTGCGACTAAAACGGCCGGCACTGTGCATCTGTGACAGATATTAACTGGGGTTCGATTCCTCACAGATGCAAAGTGCATTCGTACACGCAGTAGCTTATTATCTTTCATAGCCAAATTAATTAATTTTGATAAATATCGACAACCATATCGGTATAATTATTGTAAGAAACACCTAACTCTAAACCAAAGAATTTAATTGGCGTCTAATAGATGTCACTATTGGCTAATAAAGTCGAAATCTTCTATCGTAATTATGATTCTCAATCAGCAAAAAATTTCAATATCATCTTGTATAATATTGTTTAATTTTCTTTGATTTATAGGCTGAATTATTAGAGAAATGGAATATTGATGTTAATATCGAAAAGTTAAATGTCATATCGAATAATTATATTGATAGACCAACATTAATGACAAGAAAATTAATGATATTGATATTAGGTAAAAATAAATTATGTAACATGACAATAAGAGGATCACGCGCTTTCTCAAAATTTAAATTTATACCTGCCACTGTTAACAATTTGGTCTTAGGTAAGTTTTTTACAAAAAGAAATAATAATATTTTATTTTCTTATTTAAGTCAAATAATTTGATTTTAGATTTCGTGAACTCAAGTACCAGATCAGGCATTACTAATTCAACATATGTAAAAACAGTAAAAAAATTATGCTATGATATACGTAAGGGAAAAAAATCTGTGCAAGTTAGAAGAGGTAGGCTTCAGTATAAGAACAAATGTTTAAAAAATTAAAATACAAAACATGCAAACAATTCTAATACTTTAGTTGTAAAAAGTGAAATAATATGAAATTATAAGAACATAGTATTTTCCGATAAAGGTAACGATATTTTTTCTTTTATTTCAAGGGAGCGCGTTACATACTTTGAATTTTCATATGAAAAATTTTTTATTTTTAGTAAAAATGAATACAATTAATTAATCTAATTTTTAAAATATTTTACAGTTTCAGGGGACGAAAGCGAGGACGAGGAGGATCCTGATATTTCTGACGGTCAATAGAAAAAATCGCTCTAATGTATGTTACAATTTCTACGAGAAGGGAGAGGGGTTATAATTTTCAAAAAAATATCTTAAATAGTTTGTGATTGACCGTATACGAACATACAATACTTTCAGTTTCAAAATTTCGACTTTTTTTACATATTCATGTATTTCTCAAAGAGTAATAAACATATATTGTAAAATCTCGCAATGTATTTGTAATTTCCTCTTTTCGTTTTTGTATATGAACAGTTGTATATTGAAAATAAAATATAAAAGTAATTATTGAGTAAAATTTTCTTCTCTTATTTTATTTCTTTCGGTGTGTATTTTTCTGATAGGACTGTGATTGCTGTGAATCATTTTTTTGGTACAAAGTCATTAAAAGTCTGTCTGAGGGCTCGCAGTTCGCCTTAAAACTTGATAACGGTGCTCCATTTCTTTTAGGTCTTGATGGAATCTCTATTCTTTTCTAAAGTTTCCTAAAATTTTTAAGGAAGTTCATAAAATTCTAGTTATTTTACTTAAGTGAGTTTTAATTCTATAATATATTTACATTTTGTAATGCAATAGGGAAATGTATAAATTTTGTGTTATTTTTATTCTTTTTGAATGAAATTTTACGATTCAGAATAAACCAGAAGATGATTCTACAATCTGAAAACAAAGGCCTTAAGGCTAATTCTTATGGTTGTCGGTTCACCAACGCCTGGAATAGTTTTTTTTATAAAACAAATAGTTAAAGTATCCACTTTTGTTAAATAAAACAATTTTACTAAAATATCGATCTTTCTAAACTTAATTCAATGAATAAATATCACGTTGATTTGCAGTCAAACAATGCGCATAATTTACATCAAGTTTAACATCTAAATTAGAATCCTTTTCACCCTATGGGATTTAAAGGTGCTAATTCTAAAGAGATTTATGTACATTAAATTTAAATTATAATTTATGTTTCATATACTCTTCAAAATAAAAATTAAATATTTTTAAATTTTTAAATTTTTTCAAAATTTTCAAAAAGTTGCGTTCGTAATATTTATAAATAAATGAACTTTAAAAGTTTTTAATCTGAAAGTTTATAAAATTTCAATTTTTAATTAATTTAATTAGAAATGTTAAAGAACTTGGATTTTTGAAAAAATGTTAATAATTCAAATTCTTCTTGAAATTAGTTAAATTTGTCAACATATATTTATTTAATTATTAATTTCAAATAAAAGAAACACGATTATTGCAAAAACTTGAAAGAAATTGTTCATGTAAAATTCAATTACTTTGAAAATTTTTAATTAAAATTATTAAAGAATAACTATTACTTTCAAAAAAATTCAAATAAACATCTTCAAAAGAATTTAATTAGGATTATCAAAAATTACAATAAAATTCTTCTCAAAAATTCAATTATATTTTCATAAATAATAAAATTCTACGAAAAAATTCAATTATTATCTAATTTTTTGATAAAATTCTTTGCAAGAATTCAATGATTTACAAATTTTATTTTGCAATAATTCAATTATTTTCATAATTAATATAAAATTTTTACAGAGATTCAATTATTTTCGTAAATAATAAAATTCTTTTTTGGAATTCAATTATTTTCATAAATAATAAAATTTTTACAGGAATTTATTTATTTACAAAAACACAATTTTCATAAAATATTTCGAAAAAAATCAATTATTTAAAATGATATGTATAAAATTCTTCGCTAACATTCAATTATTTAAAAAAATTAATAAAGTTCTTCATAAGAATTCAATTATTTTTGAAAATTTCAAAAAAAATTCGTCGCAAGATTTCAATTATTTTTATAAATCTTAATAAAATTTCTTGCATAAATTCAAGTATTTAAAAAGAATTTTGATAAAATTCTCTGCAAAATTTCAATTATTTTCAAAAATTTTAATTGATTCAATGATTTTCAATATCTTCTTTTTTAACAAATTTACCAAAAGAATTCAATTAAGTATAAAAGAAAATTTTAATAAAATCAAATTGTACTCAAACATTTAATTATTTTCATAAATAATAAAAATTTCACAGAAATTCAATTATTTACAAATTCTTTATGAATTCCCTCGCAATAATTCAATTAATTTCATAAATAATAAATTTTTTTTTAAAATTCAATTATTTTTATGAATAATAAATTTTTTTTAGAAATTCAATTATTTTCATAAAAATAATAAAGCTTATCGCAGAATTTTAATTATTTTTAGTACAATTTTAATCGAATTCCTGGAAAAATGTATAATATATAATTATTCTTAAAAATTTGATTAAAATTCGTCAAAAGAATTCAATTATTTAAAAATTTGTTGATAAAATTCTTTATAAGAATTAAATATTAAAAAACATTAAATTATTCAATAAATTATTTATTTTTGTATTTAAATAATTGAATAATTTTGAAAAGATTTCAAATTAAAATATTTGGAAATTTGAATTTTTTATACTTTTAACTGGTAATTCTAAAGAATTATTTTTTTGGAAAAGTTTAATGAAATTTTTTTTTAATTTTTTGTTTTTATTTTCTAATCTATATATTTAAAATAGTTGATTTAATAGAAAAGATTTTTAGTTATAAATTCTAGAAAATAATAATTGAATTCAAATGATGAAAATAATTTTGATGAAGTTACAGTAACAATATTCTTAATAATTATAAATTGATGATTATACTTTTATAAGTTGTTTAATTTCAAAAAAGGTTTGAATTTGAAATTTTTGAAAATTTTAATTCCTGTGGAAAAATAATTAAAAAATTAATTCTATTTGTAAAAAATATACATAAAAAATAACATATATAGTATTTTTGAATTAAAATAAACAATAATTCTCAGAAGGAGAATAATATTTAAACCTTAATTATTTTTCCATGCAAAATAGTATAAAAATTAAGGGAACAACCCCAAAAATTCTAAAAATGGAGTAAAGATTGTCACGCGGGTTAGTTTTCCTTCCGTTTTTTGGATGAAAAAAACAATGCAGTGCGGATAAGGAAAAAAGAATTTACTGAAAACTAGATTGAATTTAGCAGATGTGTTGCTTGCAGAAGGCACACACCAGTTTCCGTTTCGTTTTCCTATATATTTCAAGTAGCTTGAAATACGGTTTGTTGAAGTGCACTCTCGACCAAGAGAAAAGCTGCCTGATGTTTCTGCTTTTTAGGAAATTTCACGGTCCGACGTATATATATACTATATATGCTTTTAACATTTTCCGGTTGCAATGGAAATCTCTGAATGCCAACTTATTGTATTCACATCAACATTCCACTGAATATCTACCAGAAAACAGACGCTTTTTTTATTCAAACGTTATACTCGTTCTTTTGAAAATGTGTTTACGTTAAAGAAAATTTCTATTTAATCCCAATGTTACAAAATTTTATTTTGCTTCAAAATAAAAATTTTAAATATTCCAAGTCATAATTTTTTTTATAATTTTCAGTTACTTATTATATCAATATTATTTCGAAAAATTAATATAAACTAAATTTGAATAGAAAAGTAAAAAATTTAACAAAAATTAATTCCAGCCTTGGCCCATATTTTGTTATAAAAAATTCTTAAAAAATGATTCTAGCCATTGCCCATAATTTGCCAAACTCTTCCCATATTTTGGAAAATTAGTAAAATTGAATAATAAAGTAAAAAATTTACCAAAAATTGATTCCAGCTTTAGCTCGTTTTAATAGAAGAGGTAAAAAACTTCTCGAAAATATTGATTCATGCGGCTCGAACCAGTGAAAGTATTTAAAAATACGGACTTTATGCACAAAAAATAAAAAATTACGGATAAAATTCTATTTTTCGTAAAATTTCGATTATTTAAAAAAAAATTTTGATAATTTTGAAAATAATTGAATTTTTATGGTGAATATTGTTATTTTTGAAAATAATTGAATTTTACAAAGCTTTTTATTAAAATTTCAAAAAGTAATTGAATTTTACAACCAATTTTTATTAAAATTGCAAAAAATAATTGAATTTTATAAACAATTTTTATTAAAATTGCAAAAAATAATTGAATTTTACAAAGAATTTCATTAAAATTTCAAAAAATAATTGAATTTATAGGAAGAATTTTGTTATCAATCAAGATAATTGAATGCTTTGGAAGAATTGCGTTAAAACTTTTGTAATAATTAAATATAATTTTAAAAAAATTCAACTAATTTTAACAGAATTGAAATTAAAATATTTCAAAAAAAAAGAATAATTCTGTAGAATTATCCCAATGGGAAATTTACAACTGGCGTAGTACTGCGCCAGCACTGGCAGCACTGGCGGCAAGGCTGAGAGCCAGCACTGGCATGGCACTGGGATGATAACGCCGTCTGGCGCTGCCGAAGTACTGTCTGTCAGTGCTGCCAGACAGCGCTGGCGCAGCACTAGACCAGTGCTGGCTGAGAATATTGCCGCAATAAATGCCGTATTGCTATTAATTAGTCGTAAATTCATAATTATAAATAATTTAACAACAAAATGGTAAATAATATTAATAAATAGTTATTATTCATAAAATATTTCTCTTCTTAAAGAAATTGTATTAAAGATGGAGACTAACAATGGATATAGTAAATGAAGTAGAAAAAAATTGTTTATAACATTTAAAAATTAAATAATAAACAATTACAGTAAGTGTGCATTAGATTTTCATATTTTAGTACCTGACGATTGGAATCTAGAAATATCGCAAACCTATGAAAATAAACAAAATTGCTGACGAGGGGAATCGAACCTACGACCTACGGACTAACAGACTAACGCTCTAACCACTATGCTAACGACACGTGTGTGCAGTAAAATTTTAATATCTCAGTATCATTCAGACATACAATTATTGAGTCAAAGATGAGAAAAAAATAGGGATACGTTAGAAATAATAAATTGAAATAAAATAAATTAAATTAAATTTTTAAAAATTAAATTACTTTACTTATTGCATTTAACATTTTACGTAATTCTTAAATTACGTGGTAATTAAGTATAATAGTATTTTAATAGGAACCAAATTATTATTGAGATTAAAGTTTAAATTTTGTTTATAATTTTAATTTGTTTAAATAATTTATTATTTACAAAATTAGACAATTGTGTTAAATTGTTATTATTAAATTTAATAAGAATAAAAAATGAACAACTGAAAAGTAAAATATTAATTTTTTTCAATAAATTTATATTTATAAACATTCAT